GATATATTTTCTTTTAGTGTGCTGAGTTTTGGCATGAATTTTTATAAGTGATATTGGCATATAGCTTTCCTTTACTAGGTTTAGATTTCATTTTTAAACTCACTTAAAAATAATTTGGGGGGCTTCCCTGGTGGCACAGTGGTTAAGAATCCGCCTGCCGATGCAGGGGACATGGGTTCGATCCCTGGTCCAGGAAGACCCCACATGCCACGGAGCAACTAAGCCCATGCGCCACAACTACTAAGCCTGCGCGCCACAACTACTGAAGCCTGAGCGCCTAGAGCCCATGCTCCACAACAAGAGCAATGAGAAGCATGCACACCGCAACCAAGAGTATCCCCTGCTCGCCACAACTAGAGAAAGCCCATGTGCAACAACGAAGACCAAATGCAACCAAAAATAAAATAAATAAACTTTAAAAAATAACTTGGAATTATTTTCTTATTTTTAACGTGCTGGGCTACTTTAAATATTGGGCTACATGCTTTCTAAAGTTTTGATAATCTTCAAGATAGTTTTTGGAGAAGGTCTTTGACTACTTTCTCTATATTTTCTTAGAAAATTACCCTTTATTGCCATAGTAGTTCCTTACGATCTTCGAAATATTCTGTTTTATTAATAATTTGTTAGTGTCAAGAAGTGTAAAGGGTCTGAAATTTTACCCTACTTGCAAGCTAGCAAGTAGCCTACAGCAGTGTCTTGGATGCTGGCAGAAAACACAAGACTCCTAAGCCAAAGGCAGAGGATTTTATTGCTCAAAGCACAACAAGCAGCATGAACATCAACATACTTGCCTTGTTCCTCTTTGCCCACAAGTTCCATGTGGGTGATACGGATGGTCCAGGTAGATACCTGAACATTCAGTGAGCTGCCTTATGGGAGAGGACCCGGCGTTTATAGAGAACCCAAATCTTTCATAATGGGCAATACACATGCATGAGCTTTGCTTCGAGGGAGATACTACCTTTATTATATTGAACAGTTAGCAAACCTGTATGTTGATTTAGAGAGAGAGAGTATCTCTACCTTCCAAGGGTGTTTGTTATACAAACATTCTCAAAATGATAGTCCAGAACAAAGGTAGTCAGTGCTTCTTGTAAGATGTGCTCTGATACCTAGTTGCTATTTTTTATTTTGTTTGAATGCTTTCCTTTTTTTTCTTTAAAAAATTTTTTTTTTAATTTATTATTTTTGGCTGTGTTGGGTCTTTGTAGCTGTGTGTGGGCTTTCTCTAGTTGTGGTGAGCGGGGGCTGCTCTTCGTTGCAGTGCATGTGCTTCTCATTGCGGTGGCTTCTCGTTGCAGAGCACGGGCTCTAGGAACGCAGGTTCAGTAGTTGTGGCTCACGGGCTCCAGAGCGCAGGCTCAGTAGTTGCAGTGCACGGGCTTAGTCACTCCATGGCATGTGGGATCTTCCCGGACCAGGGATTGAACCTGTGTCCCCTGCATTGGCAGGCAGATTCTTAACTGCTGTGCCACCAGGGAAGTCCCTCCTGTTTTTTCTTATTATCTTAGCAGATGGTTAATATATTTCATTTAATTTTTTTCAAACAACCTGGGTTTTTCACTTGCATATTAACTTCATTATTTTTCTGTTATCTAATTAATGAAATTCTGCATTTATTTTAATTTATTTTCTCCTGGGTTCCTCAGTGTATTTTGTTCTTCTTTTCTTAAGTTTTGAGTGGGATACTCATATATTTTTTCTTTCATTTCTATTGCACTATTTAAATGTATTGATGAATTTTCTTCTAAGATCTGTAGCTGTATTTCATAGATTCTTGATAATGTGGTGTTTTCAATATTCTAGAAATTCTTCAATTTTTTAAATTTAGTAAATAGTTTTAAAATTTTGAAGTGACGATGTCTCTTGGTTTTATGATTTTATTTCTTATTTTTTTCACAGTGATCAGGCAATGATTTGAGTCATTTCAACCGTTTTATACATTAATACGGTAGTCGCAGAAAAATACTTTCCTATCTCTCCTATCCCATCTTCTCCCATCTCTTTTCTTACTTCATTCGCATTTAGATATTCTTCACTCAAGTCCCCCATCTGGGTCACTGTCTTCAAGCCCACATCTAACATAACCTTTATTTGTACTCTCTTGTACTCAGGTGATACCAAATCCCGTTCCATAGTTGACAGCCATTCTGCTGTACTCAATATCTACACATGCCTTTTTGCTCAGGATTTCATAAGCCTGTCAATATTAGCATGATTGAAAAATATTTGAGATTATTCTCTGGGAAGTACGAAAGTTGCTATGGCTATGTAGGATTGGAGAGGAGCACCTAGGGAAGATATGGAGGAGCAAGTGTTTGAGTAAATGTAGCACTGATGTAGTAATCGTATGAACTCTGGTGGAGATAAGCAAGTCATTGTAGTACAGTATAAAAGATTAGCGGCAGGGCCTCCCTGGTGGTGCAGTGGTCAAGAATCCACCTGCTAGTGCAAGGGACACCTATTTGAGCCCTGGTCTGGGAAGATCCTACATGCTGTGGAGCAGCTAGACCCGTGTGCCACAACTACTGAGCCTGCACTCTAGAGCCCACGAGCCACAACTACTGAGCCCATGTGCCACAACTAGTGATGCCTGTGTGCCACAACTCCTGAAGCCCATGTGACACAACTACTGAAGCCTGAGCACCTAGAGCCCGTGCTCCACAACAAGAGAAGCCACCTCAATGAGAAGCCCGTGCACTTCAATGAAGAGTAGTCCCTGCTCACCGCAACTAGAGAAAGCCTGCGCACAGCAACAAAGACCCAACACAGCCAGAAATAAAATAAATAATAAAAAAAGATTAGAGATGGATGTATATATTTGTTAGTGATTACATAATTGTGGGAATTAAATGAGTAACATCTATTGCGAATTTGGGGTTGCTTATTCAATAGTAAGTGAATTAGAATCGTTTCTGCCACTGGGAAAACTTAGGGGTATGAGACTAACAGAATAACAAGTGAGAAAATTAATAAATATGTTATTGCAATGTTATAGAGACGAGCTACATGTTGCTGGGATAGAGCATAAAGTGCCTAGACTTAAATAGGATCAGTAGGAATATCTTTTCTGAAGAAGTGATTTTTGATTTGAGATCTGAGGATGAAGAGAAGTCAACCACGCAAAATCAGAGGATTTCTCAAAGAAGGAGCAACCTGTCAAGAGCCCTATTTAATGGCAACAGTTGCATTAAACATTAAACAGTGCATTTTGTGAGCTGAAAAGAGGCCTTTATGGCATGAACAGAGAAAGTAAATGGGAGAGGAGTTGATAAGCAGAAGCCTTATTATTCATGCTCAGGTATTTCTATTTTATTCTAATTGTAAAGAGAAATCATTGAAAACGTTTAAGTAGAGAGACTCAAACATTGATCAGCAACAGGGTCATTTATTGTCAGATATAAAAAAGAACAAAACAAAAACATGTGCAGGAACTAGTCCTGTAGATCTTGTTTCAGTCAAACATATTTCTGTATAGTTTTAACAGACCTTTAGGTGATTCTTACACACACTTAAATCAGGCCTCCACTGATTTACCTTGTTTCCCTAATCACCAACCTCACCTCCATTCCTGAACTTTCTTTATTTTCTGTTTCCTTTGCCTTGTTTTGAAATGTATGAAAATATAGTCTCTTCCATAATACAGTTAATAATCCATAATACAAATTAGCTTAGTAATGATATGAAGTAGGGAATGATATCAGTATAATGTGGAACTTAGTTGTTTCACAGGTAATTTTCCTAGTTGAATAGTGCCAGAATGGTAGAAATAGTTTTATAACATTCAGCAG